GAGGAGGATGAGGAGAAGGAAGAGGAGGACGGAGGAGGACGGAGGTGGACGGAGGGGGGAGCAAGGAGGAGGAGGAGGGGGGGGGGAGGAGGACGAGGAGGAGGAGGAGGAGGAGGGGCGAGGCGCATGGGGAGCACGGAAATGAAGGATGGACCAGAAGGGGGGCCACGGGGGTAAGGGGGATGAGCGAGGGCAGGCAGAGGAGGCTGATGAGGAGGGGAAGGAGGACGAGGAGGAAGGGTGGGGCGCCTAAGGAGGACCAGGGAGGAGAACAGGACGAAGAGGAGGATTGGGAGGGACTGGGAGCGAGAAGGAGGGGGGCGATGAGGATCGGGGTTTAGGAGAAGAAGGAGGGCACAGAGGACGACGACGACGACAAGCTGTTTTGTCCGTCGACCTTCCTCGCTGCTGCTGTCGTCGACGAAGCTGTCCTCGTCGTCGTTCTCGTCGTGTTTGAACATGAACTCGCGGGCCGCCTCGTTCTTCGTCTTCTCCTTCTTCGGGGCGATCGTGAAGGGGGCTGCCATCTTCCGCTGCAGCTCGTCGGGGATGTCCCACCCGTTCCTGGGGGGGAGGGGGGGGGGGGGGGGGGCATCCTCGTCTAAGTCCTCCCCCTGCTCTTCGTCACTTCCTCGTGTTTCAGTTTCGCCTCCGCGTCATTGTCTGCTGCTGACTCCTCCTCTTCTTGCTCCCCCCCCTCCTGCTCCACCTCCCCCTCCTCCTCCTGCTCTTCCTCCCCCTGCTCCTCCTCGCTCAGGGTTTCTCCTGCCCACTGTTTCGTTAATGTCAGTCTTGAGGCCGATGATTGCCACGTCTCGTTCCGAACCCCCATCCCGCAATCATCGGCCTCATGTCCTTCACATTGTCAGTTTAACTTCGTCATTGTCATCGCTCCTCGTCCTCATCTTCATCGTCGTCATATTGTCGCCCTCGTCGGTCCTGACGGCCCGTCGGTACCCTGAAAACAGGTCTAGCGCCTTCTTGGCCTCCAAACAGACCTGGGTGGTCACGAGGGCCTTCTCGCTCAGCACCGAAGGTGGATGAGGAATGTAATAGCGTTTCGAGATGGGTTTGACGACGCACGAGAATGAAGAGGCGGAGGAGGAGGGCACGAGCAAGGAGGAGGAGGAGGAGAAGGAGGAGGACGATGAGGATAAGGATGAGGAGGAGGAGGAAGGCGAGGGGCAGAGAGAGGAGGAGAAGGAGGAGAAGGAGGTTAGGAGGATAAGGAAGGACATGTGATGAGTATGAAGAGGATGACCAGGAGTAAACCTGACGACGGATGAGGGCGGGCGGAGAGAAGAAGGAGTAGGCACCATCGCAAAGGCAACCTCCCAATCGCCGGTATCGAAGGTCAACGAGTTGTTGAACTGGGCGGGGCAAAACGCATACCGATGACGATGCTACCCACCCTGCTCCCCCTCCCCTCCCCCCTCCTGGAGGGGGGTGGGAATGGGGGACAGGGAGCATCGGCATCGGTATCGTTTTGGATGTGCGACCTCCTGCGCCGCCCTCAAAACGCGCCACCACTCGGAGTCGAGTAGGTGCTCGCCGATCCCCTTGATGGCCTTGCGGCCATTCTGGTTCCAACCCACTAATGGTTCACCTCTGGCGATCCACCCTCGAATCTTCTCCTTGGGCAGCTGGCGGATGGCCTCCGCCAGCTTGGAGCGGAGCGCGTGGCTCATCGCGCTGGGAACCGCCAGCTTGGCCTCCGCCTTGGCCTCCGCCAGCTTGGGCAGCTGGCGGATGGCTTGGACCAGAACAAACGGGGCAACGGAAACACCTTGGTGTTGTTGTTGGTGTTTGGTGTTGGTGTTGGCGTTGGTGTTGATGCTGGTGTTGGTGCTGATGTTTGATATTTATGTTTGGTGTTGGTGTTGGTGTTTTGTTGTTGGTGTTTGGTGTTGGTGTTTGGTGTTGCTGTTGTGTTGGTGTTTGTGTTTGGCAGTCCCGATGTTGGTGTTTGTGTTTGGTGTTGAAGTTTATGGCGATGTTTATGATGATGTTTATGTTAAGTGAATGTTGATGTTTTTGTGTGTGTTGTTCATGCTTATGTTGATGTGTATGTACACTGTAGGTGTATGATAACGTTTATACTTATCTATATTCGTGTTGATGAGGACGATGATGCCACCAGACAAACCCAGACAAACCCAGACAACAGACAAACACAGACGAACCCAGACATTCCAGACACCGAAAACCAGCCACACCACCCGATCAGATGGCATGGATGGTGGAGAGCGTGGGTGTTCGGCCTGAACTACATGGGCTGCCCCGCTACCTCCGACAAAGGCTCAGGAGGCGGGCGAACCGCGAGCGGCGGATCCAAGCGGTGCTGGGGGCCCTCGATGCCTTGGGCGCCGCGCCGTCGCGCCCTTTTCGCTCAGCTGGGCGGGGGCGAAGTGCAGCAGGAGAGCGCCCCCATCGGACCGAGCAGCCAGTCGGTCTTCGAGCGGGTCGCGCGTCGAGTTGGGGCGGCTGGGCGACGCCCGGCCGACCTCAGCGAGCAAGGGGCCCTCAAGGAGCTCCTGCGCACAAGGACCTGTGCGGCCTCGAGCCCAGCTACCTGGGCTCGTGCGCCCATGAGCGGGTCAAGTTCCTCGAGCGCGGCATCGCGGCGCGGGGCGTGCTGGACCTGGCGCCGCCCGCCCAGCGTGAGATGCTGGCAGACCCCGAGAAGCGCGCCCTCCGTGATGGAGCGGACCTGGAGCGTGCGAATGAGCAGGAGACACCGTTAACGCCCTACTGGGGCCCGAAGCTGCGCGTCTCCGGGAAGGGGCGCATCTGCCTTCTCTCTCGGTTTCGAGAGCTCGAGGATGGGCGTCTTCTTCGTTTCAAAGAAGGACGGGTCGCTTCGACTCATCGTCGATGCGAGGGGGGCCAACCGCGTGTGTCGCCGCCGGCCCCGCACGCGGCTGGGAACCGTGGCGGCGCTGGGCCCCCTCGACCTCTCGGAGAGCGCGGTCGGCGACGGGGGGCCGCTGGATGTCCACGCGGCCTCGGTCGACCTCTACAACGGCTTCTACCAGTTCCGGAACCGCAAGCTGGGGTCGCCGCTCGGGGTCGACTTCGCCGAGCGGGCCGCCGTCTGGGCTTCGCCGAGATCTTCGATGAGGACGAGGAGCGGTTCGTCGGAGTTGGCCCGGACGAGATGCTGTTCCCGGTCTTCGAGGGGCCCCCGATGGGGCGGTCGTGGGCGCTGCACTTTTGCCGCGCCATCACTTCTGATTAGGAGGAGTCGGCTTGCATGGGGGGGGCGGGCGCGGGGAGGGCGCCAGCGACCGCGCCGATTCCATCGCGGCCCGCTGCCCCTTCCCGGGGCTCTCAGGAATCCTCCGGGCCCAGTCGGCCTCGCAGTCGGCGCCGGCATCGCGTCGCCCGCGAGCGCCAGCCGGCGGGCAGGCCGACCTTGTTGCGCATGTTTGGCGCGACAGACCCGCGCGGGCCTCGCGCTGTGCCCGCGCCCCAGGGCGACGGCCCAGGCCCTTGTAGCTCCCCGCGCTGACGCGATGGCCTCGCGCGGCGCAGGAGCGGGCGCCGCCGACCGTTCGGTTCGGTTCCGCGCACTTCTCATGCGAGAACGCAAAGCCCCCCGCGCTGCTCGCGCGCTTTGCGCGCTGAGCAATGCAATGCAGTTGCGACGGCCGCGCGTTCAAATGGAAACCGCAACGCAAGGTTTCCATTCCCGCGCGCGGGGCGGGGGCAGATGAGATTTTCTTTTTTCTTTTTTTTTTTTTCTTTTTCTTTTTTTTTTTTTTTTTTTTTTTTTTTTTTTCTTTTTTTTTTTTTTTTTTTTTTTTTTTTTTTTCTTTTTTTTGTTATTTTTTTTTTTCTTTGCTTTTTTAGTTTTTCTGATTTGTTTTTTTTTTTTTTTTTCGATTTTTTTCTTACACTTTTTTTTTTATTTTTTTTCTTATTTTTTTCCTTTATATTTTTCTTTTTTTTGTTTTTTTTGCTTTTTTACAGATTGCGCCACTCAGTGAGAAACTCTGCGGCGCGCGCGCCCGCGCCTGCCATGTTGGGCGCGCGCACTGGGCCCGGAAATCTGTGGCTCGGCCGCCCGACGCGCCCCAAAAATCGCCCCGCCCACCCCCCGCCCCCCTCCCCCTCAAAACTCTTCCGCGCTCTTGGAAAAACCATGCCGCCGAGGCGGAAGCTCGGGCCGCGGCCCGATGGTCCCCGGGGCACAGGGGAATCAAAGGAATCAGCACAGAATCAAAACAGAATCGGCACAACTGCGACCCCTGGTTCTAGCGGAATCAAAAGAATCAGCACGGAATCAATACGGAATCAAAGGAGGAATCGGCGATGGAACCAGAATCGGCCAGAACGGGGAAGTAGGCCATAATCGGTGCCATAACCCATGGAGAGAGGACTTCCCCCCGCGAGTTCATTGCGGCGGGTCCGCGGCGCGGGCGCGCCGCGCGATTTCGCTGGTTCGGCGAGGCGCGCAGTCGGCGCTCAGAGTGAACAGGTTATTTTCAGGGCGATATCCTGGCGGCGCGCTGGCGCATTGCGCATTTGCGTATTCCTGGCGGGCTGTTTGAGGGCGACCCTGCAGCGTCGGCCGAATGGCCCGCAAATGCCGCGCGGCCGATCGCGCGCCCCATGCGGTCACGTCGACCGCCGTGTGCCGCGACGGCCGCGCGCCCCGGGCCGCGCCACTGCCGCGTTGGATTGGACGGCGCAGCGCCCGTCCTCCAAAAGTCGCCACATGCATATCGCGCGTGTCGAGCCAGCAGCAATCGCCCCCAAAAGCAGCCTTGACAGGCGCCCCATGCCCGTTGCCGCCCAGTTCCGATCCAAATCATAGTTTCTTAGGATGCGCTTGCGCGAATGTGTGCGCGCGGGCAAGTAACGCGCGCGCTTGGCGCAGCTTGGGAAATCCAACATGGAGCCCCCCGGGGGCGCGGGGCGCCGGCGACGCCTCCGCCCGCCTCCCGCGCGCCCGACCCCCCCCGCAAGCCGACTCCTCCTACCTCTGACGCCGGCAGCTCCGCTGCCGGCCTCTTGCAGGGCCGTCGCGTACCCGAGGCGCCGCGGGCCGGGCTGGCCCACAGGCTGCCGTGCGTTGACGACGCGAACATCATCGGCCTCAGTCGCCGCGCTGCTGAGCGCGGGTTGGCCGCCGTCAAGAGGGACTTCGACGACCGCGGGCTCCACTACCACGAGGGGAACGCGCCCGCCGAGTCGCTCGAGCTCCTGGGGGTGGAGGTGGATGGTCGTCGCCGTCTTTTTCGCCCCAAGCCTCGTCGGACTTGGCTCCACCTGGCCCTGCGGGCCGTGCTCCACCGGGGCGGCTGCAGTGGCCTCGTGTTGCAGGTGCTCGTGGGTCACATCGTCCACCACTGCCAGCTCTTGCGCTTCGGGCTCTCCATGCTTGACAAGGTGTGGAGCTTCGTGGCAGAACTCGGCAGCCAGGAGGCACCCCTGTGGGCGTCGGTGCGGTGGGGGCTGGAGGTCTCGTCGTGGCTGGTCTTCCTGGCGGAGGCCCGCCTCGGCACCGAGCCGGCCAGCGTGGCTTCCTGTGGCGACTCGTCCTCCGCCGGGCACGCCCTCCACGTCACCACTGTCTCGAGGTCCGAGTTTCGGGCCGTGGCGCGGTTCCGGGAGCGGTGGCGCTTCGACGCAGTCGAGCGGAGCGACGACGCCTGGGGAGCCGTGGACGGTTGACCAGCCGAGTGGCGCGCCTCTGCAGATCCAGGCGGTCTCGTGTCACGCGGGCCTCGCGACCTCGGCGGCGGCCCCGCTGCCCGCTGCAGGCCATGGCGCGACCTCGAGACGATCGAGCGCACGGCCGAGGAGGTGGGGATCCCGCCACTGCCAGACATGCTGCTGGCGAAGAGGCGCTGGGCCATGGCCATCAAGGGCTCCTGGGAGCACGACGGGGTCATCCACGAGAAGGAGGACCGCGTGCTGCCCATGGGCCTGGCGCGCGCCTCGAGGTGCGCCCCCTTGCGCGGGAGGCGGATCCTCTCGATCGGGGACACCCTGTCGAGCATCTGCAGCTTCGAGAAGGGGCGTTCGGCCAGCTTGCCCTTCGGAGGCTCTGCCAGCGGGCGGGCGCCCTGTCCATCGGGCGCGAGCTGGAGGGGTCCCTGCGCTACGCGGTGAGCAGGACGAACCCCGCCGACTTCGACTCGAGGGCGGCCGACCGGGGCGAGATGTCTCGCGGCGCCTCCGTCGCCGGCCGCCGTGGGCGAGCCGTGCTGCAGCGCTGCGTGCAGGCCCCAGTGCCCGCGCCGCCTCCCAAGGCGCCTCCAGCGCGGACCTGGACCAGGGACCGCCGGCCGCCGGCCTCGCGCTCCAGCCCGGGGCGCATGGGGCCGAAGCGGGCGCCCGAGGCGGACTCGACCCTTGCGAGGGTCCGACGGCCGCCTGAGCGGCGGTCGAACCTCGGGCGCGCGGGGCCTCGGACGCATTTTGCTGCCCCAGCCGCCCAGAGCGCGGCGCGGCTTTGCCAGCGCCCGAGGCGGCGAGGACCCCGTCCACGCATCGCTTGCAAAAAGGAGAGAGTTGTCGGCCATCCGATCAAGGCCCCAGCTCGTCACCAGTTCGTGTTGGAGGTCTTCGCCGGCTTCGCCGCCTTCTCCGCCGCGTGCCTGGGGGTTGGCCTCAACGTGGGGTGCCCCATCGTGATCTCCAAGGGGCCCCACATGGACGTGTCGAAGCCGAGGGTCCAGAGGCGCATCAAGGGCTTGCTCAGGTGGGGGCTCGTGTGGTACCTGCATCTGGGGACACCTCGCACTACCTGGTCGAGGGCCCGCACGACGGGCTCGAGCTCTGTTGTCTTGGGGGGCCTTCAGCTAGCCAAGTTCACGCTGGACCTCATCAAACTCTGTAAGCGGCATCGCGTCCTCTACTCACTCGAGAGCCCGCGTTCATCAAGGCTCTTCATTTGGGAGCCCCTCAGGAGAGAGCTACATATCCAGAACGCTATCTTCGTCCGATACGATAGCTGTGCATATGGAGCAGGATATTTCACGCCTGCCCTCCTGGCCACGAACATGGAGGCCCTGCGAGGGCTGCGTCGCCTGTGTCCTGGGAGCCATCGGCATGATATCCTCGAAGAGAAAGTTTTTCTACCTCCAGGGCCCGAGCATCCTCGAGGGCGCCGGGCTTGGAAGACCACTTTGGCGGGGCGCTATCCTCCCCGACTATGCCGGTCCTGGGCTGCCGTCTTGGCCCAATCTGCGCCAGGCTCGGCCCGCGGGGCCGATGCCACTTCTCTGGAGAGATGGGGGGCTGACCTGGCGCGGGCCTGTGGTTGCCCCGTCCCTGGGAGCATCGACCGACCTCTCTGCTCGAGGTGCTGCGAGTGCCCGTGGAAGGACGCCGTCAAGCACCGGGGTCAGAGGCTCGTCTTGGTCGGCCCCCGGCGGGCAGCCAACCGATCGAGATCGGCGACGCGCTGCTAAGGCTGCCAGCCGACTGACTGCAGCCGGGCACGAGCGTGGCGAGAGGTACCTGGATTGCAGGACCGTGGGCACGGGGACGCTCCTGAACTACGAGACGTGCTCCGCGGACTTCGTCAGGTGGGCCAGCGCACAAGTCCCGCCGAGGCCTCTGGCGCCCTTGCAGCAGCTGGACGCCAACCTCTCCGCCTACTTTGACTTTCTCTTTTTCGACGGTTGCGAGCCTAGGGCTGGTCGGCACGCCAATTTCGGGCATGCCCGCATGCGCGGCGTCGTGGCGCCCTCCCGGGGCCTGCCGCACGCCGTGAAGGCGTTGGCGGACTGGGTCAAGGCCAGCCCTGAGCTCTGCCGCGACCCGTGCCCCTGGGAGGTCTTCGGGGCCATCGCGTGCCGCTGGCTCGAGCTGAACACGCCCGAGGCCGTCCTGGCGGCGGTCTGCGGCGCGATCCAGTTCGACGCCTACCTGCGGCCTGACGCGGCGGTGGGCCTCTCCCTCGAGCACGTCGTGCTGCCCTCGGGCTCGGCTGGCCGCCGATACGACAAGGTGGCCATCGTCGTCGCGCCCTCCAGCGGGAGCCAGCCGCGGCCCAGCAAGAACCAACAGTTCGACGACACCGTGATGGTGGGTTCACTCGACCCGTCGAGGGGGTGGCTCCGGCAGCTGGTGCGACAGCTGGTGGCCCGCGCCAGGGCGCGCCGTGTGCGGCGCCTGTTCGACGGGCTCACGCTGGCGGCCTACGATCGCGGCTCTTCCGCGAGGCTGCACGGCACCTGCAGGTGGAGGCGCTCAAGGTGTCGCCCCACACGCTGCGGCATGGCGGCCCCTCCCTCGACTACCTCAACGGCTTCGCCACGCTGCCGGTGCTGAAGAAGCGAGGCGGCTGGCTCAGCGACCGCTCAGTGGCAAGGTGCGGCAAGGAAGGCCGACTCTTGCGTCAGGTGACCCGTCTCTCTCCCCAGCAGCAACGCCTCTTCAAGCGTGCCTCGGACCGGCTCGAGCAGAGGCTACTCCGAGCCACCAATGTGCAATTTCAATCTCGTTCGTGAACGCTTCGATATCCTGTCTCTCTGTCCTCGCACGTGTGACTGAAGTCGTCCCCGCCCGCCCGCCCGTGAATCATATTATGGGTTATGGGTGACGGCTGTTGAATTTCTCTGAATTCGTTGTGCTCAGTTTCGTGTGCGGGCTCCCGGGAACCCTCCAGCGACCAGCCTCTCAGAGCCGCAGTGGAATTGCAATTCAGCCAACCCTTCTTCTAGCGAGACGGCCTCTCTGAGGCAGACAGTTGCCAGACTGGATTGATGTGAGAGGTGTGCGGCGAGAGCTCTGGGGCTTCCCTCCTCTCTTGCCGCTCCTCGCCCCTGCTGGTCAGGTCCTCGGGTGTAGCATCTATTCATCAGTCTCACGATTGTAGATTCGGAATACAGTTCTGGCCCGAGGAGGCGCCGTGCGCCTGCTCCGACAGCGTTTCTCCTCGCTTGTCTTCCTCCATAATCGTATTGGCTCACAGTGACCCACCCACCCTGCCCTGAAGTTAAAAGGCAGGCTTTCCCCTTGGTGGCGGTTGTTGAATTTCTCTGAATTCGTTCTGCTCAGTTTCGTGTGCGGGCTCCCGGGGGCCCTCCAGCGATCAGCCTCTCAGAGCCGCAGTCGAATTGCAATTCAGCCAGCCCTTCTTCTAGCGAGACGGCCTCTCTGAGGCAGACAGTTGACAGACTGGATTGATGTGAAAAGGTGTGCGGCGAGAGCTCTGGGGCTTCCCTCCTCTCTTGCCGCTCTTCGCCCCTGCTGGTCAGGTCCTCGGGTGTAGTCCATATTTGTATGTATGCATTTGTATGTAGGTGTCTATATATGCTTATGTATGTATGTATGAATACATGCGTGCATGCATGCGTGCATGTCAGTCTGTCTGTATGCATGTCTGCATGTAGGTATGCGTGTATGTATGCATGCATGCACGCATGCATGCATGCATGTATGCATGTATGTATGTATTTGTGTACCTGTGCATGTATGTATATATGTATGCATGCATGCCTGCCTATATGTATGTATGCATACATGCATGTATGTATGTATATTTGTATGTATGGGTGTACGTATGTGTGTACGTATGTATGTATGCATGTATGTATGGATGTGTGCATGTGTGTATGTGTGTATGTATGTGTCTATGTGTGTATGTATGTCTGTGTGTATGTATGTTTGTTTTTGTGTGTTTGTTTGTTTGTTTGTAAATATGTGTGTATGCATAACAGTGGTTTATTTATGTATGCATGTATGTACGTATAAATGTGTAAGCATGTATGTATGTATGTTTGTATGTATGGGTGTGTGGACGTGTATACGTATGCATGTATGTATGTATGCATGTATGTATGTGTGTGTATGTGTGTATGCATGTATGTACGTATGTATGCATGTGTGTATATATGTATGCATGTATGCATGTACGCACGTATGTATGTATGTATGTATGCATGCATGCATGCGTGTATGTATGTATGTATGTGTGTGTATGTATGTATGTATGTGTGTATGTATGTATGTATGTCTGTATGTATGCATGCATGCATGTATGTATGTATGTCTGTATGTATATGTATGTATGTATGCATGCATGTATGCATGCATGTCTGTCTGTCTGTCTGTCTGTCTATATATATAGAGAGAGAGAGAGAGAAAGAGAGGGAGAGAGAGAGAGAGAGACAGAGAGAGAGAGAGAGAGCATGGCCTTCTGCCATTACTCCTCCGTGCCTGGGTTGTGGGTCAGCGTTTCCAGGGATGCTTCTTGAGGTCGCAGTGCGGTCTCAGGAGCCTCTTGGGGGCAGTTTTGGGACCTCTTGGGAGCCTCTCGGGGCTCTCTTTGGGATGCCTCTCGGAGCCTCTTGGGGGCCTCTTGGGTCTCTTGGGCATCTTGGGGGCCTCTTGGGGCCTCTTTGGGGCCTCCCGGGGGTCCCTCTGGGCCGAGGGCTCGCAATGTCCGTTCGGGTCCCCCATCTGGGGCCTAGGCGCATCTTGGGCCGTCTTGTGGCCGTTTTGGTCGCCTTGGGGCGATTTTCGGTGTCTTTTGAACCGTCTTGGAACGTCGGAAAGTCGAGCAGGCGAGAAAATCACGAACATTCAAACACCTTGAGAATATCTATCATTATGGCCTCCTTGGCTGCTCTTTTGAAGCCTCCTGGAGGCCTCTCTGGCAGCCTTTGGGGGCTCCTTATGTCGTCTTGGGGCCATCTTTGGCTGACCTCATGTCTCTCTTATATGTATGCGCATGTATATATATATATATATACACACATGTATGTAACTGATATCGGATAAAAGCCGCAATCATAATCTTTTTCGGGCTGTAGGGCTATAGGGTAATATGGGCTATTGGGCTATAGGGTAATAGAGCTACAGGGCCACAGGGCTATAGGGCTTTATGGTATAGGGGTATAGGGCTATAGAGCTATAGGACTATAGGGCTATAGGGCTATTGAGCTATTGAGCTGTAGGGCTATAGAGCTATAGAGCTGTAGGGCTACAGGGCTATAGGGCTATTGGGCTTCAGGGCCATAGCTATAGGGCTATAGGGCACCCCTGGGCACCTGGGCACCCCCGGGCACGCCCGGGCACCCTGGCACCCGGGCACCCGGGCACCCGGGCACCCCCGGGCCCCCGGGCACCCGGGCGTGCGGCGAAAATCGGCGGCAAACCTTAACTAACCATATGAATCCGCTAGGACCCCTACAGAGGCAAGCTCTGATTGGGGAATACACATGTGTTGCAATGTTGTTGTGGTGTTCTCTCTGTCTCTCACTGTTTTTATATATATATATATATGTGTATGTATATACACATATATATACACATGTAATTCCCACACAGTGCTTGCACTCCAGGATTTCAAAGTGTGTTCAAAGGACTGGGGCCTGGCTACCAGTCTGGCGGCTCCGTGCTCGCTGTCGCCACCCCGTCGCCGCCCGTGGAGTGGGCGGGGCTGCCAGTCTAGTGGCTCCGTGGTCGCCGTCGCCGCCTCTTCGCCGCCTCATCGCCGCCCGTCGTCTGGGCCTGGCTGCCGGTCCGTCGGCTCCGTGCTCGCCGTCGCCGCATCGTCGCCGCCTCGTCGCCGCGACAAGGCCTGTGCCACACTGAATGCACCACCCAGAATGCACCACATAGACTGCACAGCATAACTTGCACCACATCTATATATATATATATATATATATATTTATATAGATATGTATATATATACATATATATATATATATATATATATGTATGTATATATATATATATATATAT